CGCACTCCAATCTAGAGCTTGAAATCAGAGCCTGGGCACTGTCCCTAAGCTTTTCGTGCTCAAGGCTAGTGCTCTACCACTTATGCCTCAGCTCCACTTGCAGTATATTTTGGTGGTTAATTAGAAATAAAGAATTTCATGGACTCTCCTTCCTGAGTTGGCCTTGAACCAAGATACTCTGTTCTCAGCCACTTGACTAGCTATGATTACAGGCGTGAGCCACCAGCACCCATCCTATTCTTATTCTTTATGGCGAAAAACAAGACAGCTCTATATCTAGCCAACTTGATGGAAATTCGTATATGCCAAAATTAATTTCTGTCAAATGATCCCTAACACTTCTCTTTCCTCTTCTCCATTTTCTGTCTTTTTATAATGTCATGATGCACTCCAAAAAGATAAAGGATTTCTGGTTAATATACAGCATTCTCACTTTTCCAGGTCAGTAACACTCTGAACCTATTCTGAATGCTCCTCTGTTGTCAGACTGCTACTAACCATAGCTGCTTATAAAAAATGTTCTTAGAAGCACAGGAGTAAGATTAACAGTAAACACAAAACACCTTTTCACATGAGTTATGAGGTACCTCTTATTTATTCACTAAATCTGGGCCCTCTCACAGCTGGCTGTTCAGTTTACTGCCTTTCTATAGAGTTTGGTATGAGTTATAGAAACTGTAACAGCTGGGTGTGGTGGCATATACCTGTAGTCCAGCTTTTTCAGTGGCTATGACTAGAGGGTTGCGGGGATCCAGAAGTATGAAAACAGCCTGGGCAACATAGCAAGACCCTGCTTCATAAATAAATAAACGTAATAAATAAAATTTGAAAGTATTAAATTCTTTTTAGATTCTATATCTCAAACTTAATAAATAATTCTACTTTTCAGGCTTTTCACTAAAGAAATAATTAGAAAGGCACACAAAGACTTGTGCTCAAGAATGGCTACTATAGGGTTAAAATAAGGAAGTGGAAATCTATCTGTGTAATGAGAAACTGATGGTGCCTCTGTACAGAGAGACCATGGGACTGTGACAGTATTTACCATGGTGAAGGGAAAACAGCTGAAGACAGGGAATGTGGAAATCAGCCCAGAATAAGAAGGCTGTGTGTATCATGTGAAGAGGTTTGAACATTATTTTAAATGTCTTCTGGAGCCACAGGTAAAATTAATGTGGTCATAAATTCTTTATAGCTGTTCCTATGAAAAGATAGAATCTATTTTACCATGCTGGGCTTTCTTGCCTGTGCTAACAAAATGTAGATCTGCAGTTGTGTAAGTCCAAGGGCCCAGGCCTCGAAGGTTTTCATAGCTTCTACCTTCAAGAAGGTACCAAGCCAGGCGCTGGTGGCTCATGCCTGTAATCCTAGCTACTCAGGAGGCTGAGATCTGAGGATCGCGGTTCAAAGCCAGCCCAGGCAGGAGAGACTGTGAGACTCCTATCTCCAATAAACCACCAGAAAACCAGAAGTGGCGCTGTAGCTCAAGTGATAGAGCACTCGCCTTGAGCTGAAGAGCTGAGGGACAGCACCCAGGCCCAGAGTTCAAGCCCCATGACCAACAAAAAAAAAAAGAAGGTACCAATTCTGGGACTCACAGCTATAATCTTCACCATTCAGAAGGCTGAGATCTGAGGATTCTGGTTCAAAGTCAGCCCAGGCAGGAAAGGTGGTGAGACTTGTATCTCCAATAAACTACTAAAAAAGATGGAAGTGGAACTGTGTCTCAAGTGGTAGAGTGCTAGCCTTGAGCAAAGAGAAGCCCTGAGTTCAAACCCCAGGACTGGCACCAGAAAAAAAAAAAAAAGGTTAAGAATGACCAGCTGTATGAGGATGCTACAGCAGAAAACCAGCTTCAACTGTCAACCATTTACAAGCCAGTAAATTCTGAAGTGGTTTGTTATTTGGCAATCATTTGTCCATATAGAATTACATCTCAAATATGAGAGCTGAACTTTTGATGTACAGTTTCAGAATAATAAAGTCCCCAAGAGGAGTGTGGCATGTAGATAGGGTTCTACAGGATGCAGCAGAGGTAAAACAGGGCACAGAAAGCAGGAAGCCACCGAAGGCAGGACTGAGGATGGAACTTACACAGTCTTCAAAGCTGTCTAAAAAGGAGAGATCTAGGCACAGGTGGCTCATTTCTGAAATCCTAGCTACTCAGGAAGCTGAGATTTGAGGATCTAGGTTTGAAGCCAGCAGGGGCAGGAAAGCCCATAAGACTCTTATCTCCAATTAACCATCAAAAACAAGAAGTGGAGCTATGGCTCAAGTGGTAGGGCATTAGCCTTGAGTAAGTAAACTAGGCAAATGCCTAGGCCCTGAGTTCAAACCCCAGGACTTGCACACACACACACACACACACACACACACACACACACAAATCCACAAATAAACAAGAAAGAGAGAGACAGAGAGGGAGACAGAGAGAACAGATTTAAGCGTGTCATGTGTACAACTTATAGATTTTGGTAACTGACTTCACGTGAGACAGAATGCAGGGCAACTCTAGGTTTCCAGCTAACCTAGTAACTGAAGTAAGAAATACAGGAAGAAGAGACTGTAGGAGATTGAGTTTAGAGAATCTGAGTTACCCACAAGACACTAGAAATGTTCAGCCGGTAATTGGTAAGATGTCTGAGTTACAACTAGAGATCCAAAATTCTCTAAGAATTGGTGGGAGTTGAAAGCTGAGTGGAGATGAGAGAAGAGAAGGAATGGCAAAGAACAAGACTATCTCAGAAATTGAAACTGAAGCAAAGAAGCCAAGGAAGATGACCTTAAAAAGACAATGAGTGAAAGCCGGGCGCTGGTGGCTCATGCCTGTAATCCTAGCTACTCAGGAGGCTGAGATCTGAGGATCACGGTTCAAAGCCAGCCCGGGCAGGAAAGTCTGTGACACTCTTATCTCCAATAAACCACTCGGAAAAAATGGAAGTGGCGCTGTGGCTCAAGCGGTAGAGCAATAGCCTTGAGCTGAAGAGCGCAGGGATGGCGCCCAAGCCCAGAGTGCAAGCCCCACAATGGACCAAAAAAAAGAGAATGAGTGTTGAGAGAAAGTAAGCACCAAATAGTGCATATTTTCTAATTTATTTAATCCTCCCCAATTATTAAGATCTTTGTTGTGCCTACTGATACACTGCAGATGCTCAGGGCAGTGCCCTGAAATAAATACTAAATGAATGAATGAATATTCACACCACAGAATGAATTAATTATTCTTGTTACTCCCATTTTCCAGATGATGGAATTGAGAGAAGTTAAATGACTTGTTGAAAACCATACATATAGTAATTGATACACCAGGATCCTCCATGGGTTGGGATCTGTGGATCTAGGTCCTCAAAGCTGACCACAAGTGTTTAGGATGGAGCAGGAAGTTGGAGTTCCTGCTTAAACAGTCTCTACTTTCTTAAGAAAATAACAAAGAGAGATCAGTTTAGAAAACATATCTTGGCTTGGGAGGTATAGCTCAGAGGAAAGCACTTGCCAAGCATGCATTAAAGCCCCGGGTTATATTGCTAACAAGATGCAAAAATACACATAGTATATATGTATAATGCATGACACACATGTATGTATAGTGTGTCATACATATATGTATATGCATGACACACACATATTGAAGAAAAAGTGGTGAAGGTAAGGTTTATTTGTCCAAGGTTGTTGTGGGAGCAGACGTATAAAAAGCATGGATGGCCAGCACAGATGGCTCACTCCTATAAACCTAGCTATTCACAGGAGGCTAAGATCCAGAGAATCTTGGTTCAAAGTCAACTTCAGTAGAAAAGTCCATGAAATTCCATCTCCAAAATAATCAGCAAAATGTCAGGTTGAAGGCATGGTTCAAACAGTACAGCACCAGTAGAGCAAGCTCGATGCCCTGAGTTCAAATACTAATACTGGATGAGGTGTGTGTGTGTGCGTGTGTGTGTGCGTGTGAAAGCATGAAAAATAGTTTGCCTGGAACTCTTCCATTTTTCATTGCTTGCACCTACTAAAGTCTTATATGTCTGTCAAAATTTTATGTAACAAAAGTCCATGGTTCTGGATAAAATACTTCTTATACCTTAATTTTTTATCTCTCAGGTTATTTACAGAGGGGAGAAAAGTTGATATATGATAATTAAATGATAAAGCCAGGGAATTTTCTATTTAGCAGTAGGTTCAGGTGACTTCATCGTAAGATGAGAGCATGCAACATGGAAGCAGGTACTAGGACTTGAAGCCCGCTCCTCTCTGCTTGACTAGAAAGCTTCTCTCAGTATTATTGCACTTGGGAGAGTCAGATAATAAAGAATAGATGTGCAGTAACTGAATCCCAACAGAATAAAGACACAAACATTTAAGGAAAGTTGGAAATTGGGGGGTAAAACAAAATGCGAGCCAGGAACCAGTGGCTCACACCTGTAATCCTAGCTACTCAGGAGGTTGAGATCTGAGGATCATAGTTCAAAGCCAGTCCAGGCAATTAACCATTCAAAAACTAGAAGTGGCGCTGTAGTTCAGAGTTCAAGCCCCATTACTGACCAAAAAAAGATGAGAGAGAGAAGAGAGAGAGAGAGAGAGAAGGGGAGGGAGACAGAGAGAAAGAGAGAGAGAGAGAGAACTGGATTGATATGGAGAGAACCAGGCTAGAGGCTTAAGGTCAACTTGGTTTTAGTTTGGTAAGCAGGAAAGAAAGAAAGAGAAAGAATGAAAGAAGAGAGAGAGAGAAAAGAAAAGAAAAGAAACATTATTTTTCCAGGTGCTGGTAGCTCACACCTGTAGTCCTAGCCACTCAGGAGGCTGAGATCTAAGGATTGCAGTTCAAAGCCAGCCCAGGCAAAGCCAGTCCATGAAACTTCGAAGTGGCACTGTGGGTCAAAGAGGTAGAGCGCTAGCCTTGAGCAAAAGAGCTTAAAGACAGCACCCAGGGCCTGAGTTCAAGTCCCACAACCAACAACAACAAAAAGAAGACATATTATTTCCATGTGCTGCTCTGAAATCACACTTACCAGCAGATGTTTTTAGGAAGTGCCGTGGATGGCCATACTTGAAGGAGGGATATCGAAGGAAACATATACAATTTGGCTTCAAAATGTGCACATTACTACAGGTGTGAAAATAGCGAACATAAATCTACAAGTGAAAAAACAAAAATTGCCTTTATAAGTTAACTTAATTGCTTCTTACGATTTTATTTTTATGTATTTATTGTAGTGGGGGTTTGAAGTTATTAGGGCCTCACACATATTAAGCTGATGCTCTACCTCTTCAACCATACCCCCAACCCAAAAAAGTTGGGTTTGTGTGTGTGTGTGTGTGTGTGTGTGTGTGTGTGTGTTACCAGGGCTTAGGGCCTTGGGCTTGCTAGGCAGGCATTCTATTCAGGCATTGGGCCCTAATGGTTTACTTTTTAAAGAACCTATCGAACTTCAGTTCTATTTTTAAACATGCATTATCACAATGTCAATAAGAAATTATCTAGGCAAAAAGAATACTTGGCAGTGGGAGCAATCAAGTTTATGAAAAATTAGTTATTTCCTGACATATTTTTGTTCAAAATCATCAAAAGAACTCAAACTCTGGCATAAAATATTTGTTTGCTCAAAATTCCTTTCATTTCAACTTAAGTCTAAACTTCCTGAAACAGGCATACAAGATGGCATCTCAACAAGTAAGTTGGGCACAAAGGCTTATACCTGTCAACATAGCCATAAGAGTGATTATTATCCAGGCAAGTGTGGGCAAAAGTACAAGGCCCTGAGTTGGAATCTCACTACTGCCAGCAAAATAACATAAAGGAACGCAATTAAACACTTTTAAAATGATTGTCAGTGATTCCCTTGCCTCCAGTTCTAGGTCTCAAACTTAGGACCTTCTATGGGCTAAGCAAGCATTCTATACCATAGCCCTCAGAGTTTTCTCATTGTAATTGATAGATGACTTTAACTATTTTATGTAACAACTTAGTATGAGCATGGGATCATACCTGTAATCCTAGCTACTCAGAGGGCTGAGATCTGAGGATCAAGGTTCAAAGTCAGCCTGGGCAGGAAAGCATAAGACTCATCTCCAATTAATCAGTAAAGAGCTGGAAGTGAAGGTGTGGCTCAGGTAGTAGTGTCAACCTTGAGTGACAAATCTATTGAGCGAAAAATCTAAGAGTGCAAGTCACAGAGTTTAAGTCTCAGTACACATATACACACATACACACATACACACACACACACACACACACACACACTTCCCAAAACAACAAAATAATTTAGTATGATACAAAACAATATCGGAGGACTGAATGTAGTCAACTTGATATATCAAAATCAAGGCGACTCTTAGAGGAACACCAAGGTGCAATGCCTATGTGAAGCTGATCATATAAAATAATATTTATTGAAATGAGCTGCAGGAAATGGAAACAAGAGGTTTTTCTCCTTTGTTGCTGTTTTCTTTTCTTTTTGTCTTGTTTATCTTTCTTTAGGAGGGTAAGAGGGGGCACAGAAATGGAGGGGCAAAGGGTGAACAAATGCAGCAGTGGCACCCACTAGACACTATGTTGAAAATGAACTATACAACTTGTGGGTGGGGATGGGAGGGAAAAACAGGGACAAAACAAGGGAAGGGATGACATGGTTCAAAAAGAAATGTGTGATTAACCCACTGTATATCTCCTTTATAATAACAATTTTTTAAATCTGTTCAAAAAAACCAAAGTGTTGGAAAGGTAAAAATATTTTATTTTGAATCTTAATATTTCAATGCTATTAACACCTGATAACATCAAACTTTAGACTGCATTAATTTCTAGCCTTCTTGGTGGTTTTTGAGAATACTTGAATCTATTTGAAATTTTTTTCATTTCTGTTAAGTCACCTTTCAAGTATGTTAGCTCCTAAAATTTCAAGTCAGATTATAATACATCCTATGGTCTTTTTTTTTGAGATGGCTTCTCACTGGGTTGCCACAGCTGGTCTCAAATTCTTGGACCCAAGTGATCCTCCTTCCTCAGCCATCCAAGTGGCTTCAACTATAGGAACATGTCACCCTGCCAGCTCACAATAGTTATGCCTTGTTGTTCATTTTTGGTTTTTGTACTGTGACTGGGGCTTGCACTTTGGGCCTGGGTGCTTTCCCTTAGCTTTTTTGCTCAAAGCTGATGCTCTACCAGTTGAGACACACCTCCACTTCCAACTCTTTGCTGGTTAATTAGAGATAAGAGTCTCACACTTTCTTGCCCAGATTGGATTTGAACCTTCATTCTCAGATCTCAGCCTCCTGAGAAGCTAGGATTACAGGTGTGAGCCACTGGCACAGGACTAACAGTATGCTTTAACAAACATTTTCATTCTTTTTTTATGTTTTTTTTTTTTTTTTTGGTCAGTCGTGAGGCTTGAACTCTGGGCTTGGGCGCTGTCCTTGCACTCTTCAGCTCAAGGAGAGTGCTCTACCGCTTGAGCCACAGTGCCACTTCCGGTTTTCTAGTCGTTTATTGGAGATAAGAGTCTCATGGACTTTCCTGCCTGGGCTGGCTTTGAACTGTGATCCTCAGATCTCAGCCTCCTAAGTAGCTAGGATTACAGGCGTGAGCCACCAGCACCGGCTTTTCATTCTTCTTCTTCTTCTTTTTTTTTTTTTTTCTGAAAGCAACTATAGAAGAACAAAACTTTGGTTTACCAGGAACAGTATATTTAAATTCTTTTACATAATTTTCCTTTCCTTGATTGTCAACTTGTTACTGATCTCTGAGCCATGCATCTGCACTTCACCTTAAAAAAATTCATAATCATTGTAATATCTACAATTTACTGTTAGCATCAGAATTCAGGAACAATAGAGCCTATCAACTTAAATGGTATCTTAGAACCAAGCAGGCCATAAAGAATTCTTTTTTCCAGTTGTCCTGACTTTCCCCTTCAACCCTGGCTCTTGGTCAACAGCAAAACCAAAGAAAGAAGTCAGCCTCTGTTTCATTTGGGTGTAAAGTGCAGACAGTAAATGGAAGTTTAAAAATATATAGACCTATCTGGACTTGCACAAAATATTTTATAGTTTAACTGTATTTTTTTCTTTCTTTTGGCAGTGCTAGGTTCAAACTTAGCCATTCTACTACTTGAGCAACACCTCTAACCCTACTCATTTTACTTTATTTTTCACACAGCTTCTCAAGTTTTTCAGCCAGGAAGAACTGCATACCACCATCTTCTCATCTATTCCTCCCAAAGTATTTGAATTACGGGTGCTCACCATTATGCCTGGCCCTAGAATTGTAAAATGTTGGAAAGAGTAAACTATTAGAAGGTTCTACCTTTACAACCCAACTCTTACTGAGGAATTATTAATGAATTTAGGGAGACACAAACTACCAAACTAGTATTTACTGATGGAGAGCAAGGGTGGGCAAATACAGTCATTATATTCAGTGTAGATAATGTAAAAATTGAACTACATTACTTAGGGAATGGATGGGGTACTTGAAAAGATGGAGAATGATGGATCAAGACATTGCACATAAGTACAACACATTGTACTTACAATGTGACTTGTTAAATTAAAAACCCTTTGTAGGGCTGGGAAGGTGGCTCAGTGGTAGAGCGCTTGCCTTGCATGCATGAGGCCCTGAGTTCAATTCCTCAGCACCACATAAGCAGGGGGAAAAAAAGCCGGAAGTTGTGCTGTGGCTCAAGTAGTAGAATGCTAGCCTTGAGGGGAAAAGCTGAGGGACAGCGCCCAGGCCCAGAGTTCAGGCCCCACGACCAGACCCAAAAGAAAAGAAAAAAAAGAAAAAAAACCCTTTGTAGAACTACTTAATTTCTTTAAAGTTTATCAACTGCTTATAATGGACTAGTATTTTAAGTTTTTACATATATCTACTGTGCGCCTCATAATTATCTTGAAATATGCACATACAATAGAAATGGATGAGAGAGGTGAAGTATTGTCCAAGGTCACACAGCAAGTTAAGTGGCAAAGTCAAGCTCTAATACCAAGGAAATCTGACAGCAAAATCTGTTCTTTTGTGTGTCAGAAGTGAAGAAAGCAGTCTTACTTTCAACATGAGACAACCTCTCTCCACCGGCATGGGCATGTGTGCTCTGATTTTTTCTAAGAAATTATAGGCGGCTAGGTTGAGGTATGTGGGGTTTTTTAGATTAGGTTGGTTTGGAAAGGCTTCTAGATGCAGTCTTAGGCTGGGCCTTGCATAAGAAGTATAATTAGCAAAGAACACAAGGACACCCAAGTTCTAAAACAGAGGAAACAGCATAAACAAAGGGACTTTGGCTGGAATTTGCTTATGATGCTGTTTGAGACAATGAGCAGCTTGATTTGACTAGATCAAATTTATAAAGGAGCAAATAGTTGATAAGTACAAACATCGTTGGACTATGCTATTTGAATGAATGTGGTATGTTATAGGAAAAAAGAGGATTAGGAAAACAATCTAGTAAACCTCTGTTATACAAATTACATCCAGTAAAGTCTGGAGAGAAAGGAAGGGGCTAAGGTATGATTGTAAAACCTGAGACATGAAATAACAGTGCCTAGTGCTGGGGCACAGAAAAAGACAGACAGACAGACAGACAGAGATCAGATAGAAGAGAGAAACACAGACATAGAGAGGTAAAAGGCACAAGAAAAGTTACTGATTTAGATGTATTAAAAGGCAACAGAGTCCACTTAATCCTAGCTACTCAAGAGGCTGAGATCAGAGGATCATGATTGGAAGCCAGCCTGAGTAGAAAAGTTTTTGAGATTCTTTTCTCTGATTAACTAGCAAAAAGCTGCAAGTGAAGGTGTGGCTCAAGTGGTAGAGCAATAGTCTTGAGCAATAACACTAAGGGACAGGGCCTAGGCCCTGAATTCAAGCCCTAGAACACATTCGTGCACACACACAAAGGAAAAAAAAAGTAATTTTTTAATCTTCAAGCTAAAGAAGACTTCCTTTTTAGAATCAGACTTAGACTAGTAAATTAAGTATAAAGGTTTAAACCTCTGATTTTAAAAATCATGCTGATAGTTTTACTGGTTTTATATATTTAGTAGTTGGGGCAATATCAAATTCATCTATGAACAACAAGGAATGATGACAAATCCTCTGGAGACTCTCCAGCCTGCTTTTTCTGATGCAATCTCATTCTATACCTTGTCTTAAAGTATTTATTAGTCAACATGTACAATCAAAATATTAGAGAGAAAAGAGTTTAGCTGATTAACATAATAAAAAGTATTTCTAATACCTGACAACTGTCTAGACTCAGAAACTCAAAGCTAACAGATGGGTGCTGATGGCTCACACCTGTAATCTTAGCTACTCAGGAAGCTGACATCTGAGGATTGAGGTTTAAAGTCAGCCTGGGCAGGAAAGTCCCAGAGACTCTTAGCTCCCAATTAAACACCAAAAGCTGTGGATCAAGTAGTAGAGCACTAGCTTTGAGGGGAAATAAAAGCTCAGTAGATAATGCATAAGCATTGAGTTCAAGCCCCAGTACCAGCACTAAAAAAAAGACAAAAGAAATTCAAAGCTAAATACAATGCAATATGTAGTTTTCAGTATTCATATTACCTAGTCTTTTCTCAAAAGACCATAGAAAAACTCAAGTTGATAGGGTTCACAAGGGGCAGAATGACTTTAGGGAAATGGAAATAAAGCTACTGCATCTGCTTAATTTACTATAGCTGATAAGAGCTCTTGTTGCTTATAACTTTTTACTCAAATATTTTAACTAAGTCATTCTACAAGTATTTGCTAGCACTTCAATGCGCTGGGCACTAGGAATTACATATAAAACAAAAGAGATGTAATCTTTCCGTAATGGAATGCACACAGGGTTAAAATAGACCAGTAGCAAGGTGGTTAACTCACTGCTCCTGTGGGGAAAAACAAGAGTACAATGAAGGAAAATAAAAGGAAGGAAACTTGCCTGGAGAAAGCTATGTTGAAATAAAAACCTGAACCAGTAGTAGGAGTAACTAGAGGATGAGGAATACTGGCAGATAAGACAATCGGGTTTAAGGCAGAAGAAATATCTATGCAATGGTAATCAAACAGCATGATGTATGGTCAGTCAATTCTAGTCTAGTTTACTAAGGGGTATGTGGAGGAAGCATCGGCTTTTATCAGTCAGGTAATTTTTAATAAGAAATGAAGCCTGGGAAATAAATTTCTTCAGCTGTTTGAATCTTAAGACACTGCATGCATTGAGGGTAATCTTAAGCAAGAAAATGACATTACATGTATGATCACTCTGGCTAGCCCTATGAATGAAGAGGAAAAGAATGGCTCAGAGGCAAAACCTGAATTAGAAAGAACTGGGACACCTTTCATTGAGGGTAGGGTAAAAAACAGTGAGTCGATTGCTTCAGAGTTACTGCCTAGCTCCAAGAGAAACAGGTTTGAGGGTTGAGTCTAGAGTCTTTGAGGCATCATGGCATACTTTGAGGCTAGCTTTTCCAGGCTCTTTTGTGTTATAGTATTGGCCATGTAACTCTTCAGGCCTAGATCCACCCCTTCCTCCTTTTTGCCCAAATATCAAGAAGTTGCAGAGCTCTCCTGTGATCATGATAGAAAGACCAAATGAAGCTGGGCGCTGGTGGCTCACACCTGTAATCCTAGCTACTCAGGAGGCTGAGATCTGAGGATTGCAGTTCAAAGCCAGCCCAGGTAGAAAAGTCCATGACACTCTCATCTCCAATTAACCACCAGAAAACTGGAAGGGGTGCTGTGGCTCAAGTGGTAGAGTGCTAGCCTTGAGTTGAAGAGCTGAGGGACATGCCCAAGCCCAGAGTTCAAGCCCCACAACCCACAAAAAAAAGACCAAATGAACTGCTGAAATAACAAATGTTCGTGATGATGAGCCATGGAATCAGTGCCAGCTGTTACCTAATTTTGGTATGCTCTCTCTGTATAGATGCTTAATGTTCTACTTGTTAATTTTGGTTTTTAAAAGTTACAGATTAAAAATTACTTCATATACATGCAAATGTAGGTTAACTGGACCGTATTTAGACTGGTGCCAAGCTTCCGTGCAAACATCAAGAGTATGCTTACATAAACCAAATTACAAACCTAGGCTTTATGATATAGGCTATTATTCACTCTTATGTGGCAATATCCTTGTGTTACCGTTCTAAATACTGCAGGCAATTGTCACATAATGATATATGAAAGGGCATATTGTATGTCCTTTCCCATCGCAACGTTTCACTTGCTGAGTTGTAATTGTGTCTCCCTCTCCTCTGCCCCCAGTACTAGAATGCAATCTGACTTATATTTGTGTTCTGAGTGTCCAGCCTAGTAACTGCTACACACAGCAGGTCTTAGACGGCCAGAAATCAACCAACCACTACAGAAACCTCTAGGAAAATGGGTTTGTGTGGGTGGTGAAATATCCAAGAAGAAGAAAAAAGTAAGATGTGTAAATGGGATGAAACCAGTCTCCTTAGTGGGATCTCTGGGTATTTGCTATTACAAGTCTGAGAAAGGAGTCATTGAAGGGGGAAAGGAGACAGGACACGGGAGCGAGTTACAAACCAAATAAATGAAATGTAAGTCTGTCTATTCCTCAAGGGAATGGCCAATCTCTTCCTCTAGTCTAAATTCTCTGAGGTGAGGGGTCATTAGTACCGAGGGTCAGAAAACTATGGGAGCTCAACAAATGCCCTCAGTATTCGTGGCGCCTTTCACAATGCCTAGTACTCTGAAAGAGATCAATGAAAGGTTAGCAGGTGAAAGGCAGGCTTGGCCTTGGGGGGGGGGGCGTTAATAAAGCGAGTGTGGCGACCTAATCCGGCCGGGGTTAGGGGAGGGGGTGTTTCCGGACACCCCCGCTCCCCCCCCAGCCCGCGCCTGCGGAGCCCTTCCCTTTGCATTCCTTCCCCCACCTGTCCATCACGCGCGGCCCGCACCCCAGCACAAAGTAACTCGCCGCTTTCGGATGACTCCGAACAAATCATCCCAGCTCGAGATCCACCCGAGCCTACTTACCAGCTGCCCGGCGTTCCGGCTCCAGGTCCTGAGAACACGTACTGCAGCCATCTTACTCCGGAAACCGCTCGGGCACTGCGGCTGGAGAGAAGCCTCCTCACAGCGGCCTATCAAGAGACGAGAGACGCACCTCCCTCAGCGACCAATGGGGGAGCGCGGGAACGAGCCTCCTACTCCGCCGCCAATCAGGGAGAGGGGACGGCCGGAATTGCCCACCAGGAAGCCAATCGGGGAGCTGGAAGAATCCACGCCTCCCACCTGGCTGCTAACCCGGGAGCTGAGCCGGCAGAGAGCCACCCCCCGACCTCCATCCCCGGGAGGCGGTGGAGAGTCGGGGGCCGAGGGGAGGAGGACTCGGTGGGGACCACTCAGACTTAAGTTCGGGGGTGGGGGTGGGGTGTGCTTCAGTGTTCAGTGCAGATGCATCAGCAATAATCTTTTAAATCCTTGGGAGGGGGAAATAGAGTGTGTTAAGGGAACACACAGGAAGGGCAACTCACCCGGAGAAAGTTGGGGTGAAACCCGCGTGGTAAAAAAACATTTTTGGTGTTCTGTCTACCGTGATTATAGGAAAAGGAAACGATTTCATACTTTGTTGCAAGGCTCTGGACTACTTGTTTCTTAGGTCGATACAGGAACTCTTGCCGGGAATTAGCACCTCTTACTCCCGTTAAGTGGTTTGTTATTACTTTAGTTTTATAATGATCTCCTCCTCCTCTCCCTCCTCCTCCTCCTCTTCTTCTTTCTCTTCCTCTCTATTATTATTATTACTATTATTATTAATGTACTAGGGCTTGAACATAGGGCCTAGTAGCTGTCTCTGAGCTACTTTGCTAAAAGCTAGCACTTTACTACTTGTGCCACACCTCAATTTCTGGCTTTTTTTTTTTTTTTTTTGCCAGTTCTGGGGCTTGAACTCAGAGCCTGGGCACTGTCCCTGAGCTTCTTTCGTTCAAGGCTAGCACTTTACCACTTGAGCCACAGAGCCATTTCTGGCTTTTACTGGGTATGTGGTACTGAGGAAGAGAACCCAGGGCTTCAAGCATGCTAGGCAAGCATTTTACCACTAAACCACATTCCTAGCCCATTCTGGCTTTTTTTTTTTTTTTTGATGGTTAATTGGAGATGAATCTCACAGACTTTTCTTCCATGGGGCTAGCTGTGAACTGTGATCATGAGTTGGAGCCAGGCTTGAGCTACATAGAGAGTTACTTCACAGTGAGACTGGGATACAGAGTGACCTCACCTTAAAAAACATGCAAAAACAAAACAAGACAAACTGGTCTGAAGATGCAATTTAATTGCAACGTTCTTACCTAGTACATGGAAGGGTTTGTATTCCTAGCACTGGAAGGGGTGAGAAAGACCAGTTTTATCCGGCAATCTTTTTTCTGCACAGGAATCAACTATAAAACAGATTTCTAGAAACATCTAGAATGACAATACCATTCTTTTTTTCATCAGAATGAAAATTCAGTATATCTTTTCTTTCCAAGACCTGGAGATATCTCACTTGTCCATCTGTCATGAGTGAAGCTCTTGGTGACGCTAAAGCTTTTGGCTAGCCAATAGCACTTTGATTATTAGACACTATCTATAGTACTACCGATAGTCCCATATTAGTGGAACTGTTGAGACAGGACATGTTTATTTTCAACTTTACCCTACATAATGCAAGATTGTTATGCATTTTGTCACTGGACAAAACACATCTACCAGCTGTGGAAGGGAGTAGTATATCATTGTCTTAATTCTTTGCCCCCAATTTAGTAACTGTAAAATGGCATTATGGTGTTAGTTTCTCTAATTATTAATACCATTAAATATTTTCCTGTTTGTTGACCACTCTTAAAATGCCTGCTCATGCTTTTCACCCATTTTTCTTTTATTGTGGGTGTTTTTGTTGATGAGTTGTTGACTTGTGGAGCTCCCTCAAATATGCTGTGAGCCCTGTAGATTTTATGCCAACTTTTGGCTTAAGGTCTCATTTACATATGCACAATAACCTTAAAATTTTAACTTCATCTGATTTCATTTTTCACAATACTTGGGTTATTCCAGCTTTGGGACTATGAAACATTTGGATACAAATGTTTGGGGAATGTGTTTTCTTTTCTTTCTTTTTCTTTTGTCTGTTGTGAGGCTTCAACTCAGTGTCTAGGTGCTGTCCCTGAGCTCTTTTGCTCAAGTCTAGTGCTCTACCACTTTGAACCACAGAGCTATTTCCGATTTGTGTGTGTGTGTGTGTGTGTGTGTGTGTGTAATTGGAGATAAAAGAGTTTTATGGCTGGGTGCCGGTGGCTCACACCTGTAATATTAGATACTCAGGAGGCTGAGATCTGAGGATCATGGTTCAAAGCCAGCCCAGGAAGGAAAGTCCATAAGATTCTCATCTCCAGTTAACCACCAGAAAACTAGAAATCTCAATGTGTCTCCAGTGGTAGAACACCAGTCTTGAGCTAAGGAGCTGAGGGACAGCGTCTGGGACCAGAGTTCAAGCCCCATGGCCGACAAAAAAATATGTAAGAGTCTCAAGGACTCTCCTATTCAGGCTAGCTTTGAACCAGGATCCTCAGGTCTCAGCCTCCTAAGTAGCTAGGATTATAGGTGTGAGCCACCAGTGCCCGGCTTCTACATGTTTTCATTTCTCTTAGGTTTATGCCTTGAGGAAGTATTGCTAGGTAATGAGGTCATTGTTATGTAGGGTGTGTGTATGTGTGTGTACGTGTGCAAGTGAACTCAGGGTCTGGGCACTGTCCCTTAGCTTTTTTGCTCAAGGCTGGTTCTCTATCACTTGAGCTACAGCTCCACTTTTGTCTTTTGTATTATTGTGTGGATGGATGACATTGCAGCACTGTAACTGATTACTTCTACATCTTTCCATTTTACCTCCAATCGCTTCAGGGTATTAACTTCAGGGTATGAACTTCCTTATTCTGCACGCACACACACACAAACACACATATATATTTGTTACTCAGTTAAGGCAGGAATTGAGTCACCAGCAGGAATCAAGAAGTTTGTTCTTGTTTCTACCTTTGATAAGCCCTGTACTGTTCTTGGAGTCAACTAATTCTCTCTGACAGGTCTGAACAGCCAGGTCCTTTTATTTACCTTGATTTATTAACACTCCTGTCTTATCCTTTCTCCTTGAAGGACTGTGACCTATTTGGCTGGCAACAGACCAGGGCTTTGAACTGAACAGGGCCTTGAACAGAACAGGGCTTTGAAGGAAAGGCTCGACTCCCTTTCTTTCTCCAGCTAAGACCCATTTCACATCCTATCTACGTCCCGCCATGAGTTACTTTCATAACAACCCCTATCAGACAACTCTGGTGATCCCTTGGGACTCATTACACATATCCCAGCCAGTAAGCAAGGGAGAATCTCAAGCTTGGCTGAAGACCACTCTCCAGGTATTTCTCTAACCTATGCTAATGTTGAGCTGTCTTTTTGTCTGTCCTCTGTGCCTTTTGAATCTAACACTGTCCACCTATGCAAATGCACACACACACACACACACACACACACACACACACGGGGTAATTGAGGAGCAAAGGTATCACGCAATGCACGAGGGCACACGCTTTGGAAGACAGGCTGTATGTAGAGAGCCAATACTCAGGTGCATTGTAGGGAGGGTCTAGACTTCTCCCGTGTGTTTAGCTCTTAAGAGTCTGCAGCTCTGGGTGGGCCAAACCCCTGGAGAGAATAAGACAGATCACGATTATCAAGAAAGCAAATAAGGCTCAAGCGTGCGGGACCACGGAAGGATTCGTTCACAGTCGGAAAGCTTCTCACAACCTACAGCTTCCAGGGTGTCTTCGGGTCCAATTTCTCCAAGCCCAGGCAGTGCGGAGTCGGGGGGCGGGGGGGGGGGGGGGGGGGGGGGGGACGGGACAGAACCACAGCGAACACACAGTGCGCGTGCGCACGGGACGCCCGCCCCCCGCGGTCCCGGGGATTCGTTTCCGCGGAATCCATTTCCGGTGGCAGCGCTCCTCCCGCCTCCCGGCTCCACCGTGCATCCCGGGGCGCTGACCGAGGTTCCGGAGCTGTGGGAACTCCGAGGGCGGCTGTTCTTGTTCCTGCTTGGGCGAAGGCGCGGTTGCAGCGGGCCGGGTCCCTGGGTGCCCCCCATGGCGGGGCAGCGGGTTGAGGTGGACGGCGGGATCATGGAAGGGGTGAGTGTGGGGCTGGAGGCCGGGGCTGCGCCCTGCGGGGATGGGATGGGGGGGGGAATCTCTCCTGGCGGCGGGGTAGGGGGAGGTCCTCACGCCCCTTCTCTCTGCACCCGGTTCTTGGCAGGGCGGCCAGATCCTCAGAGTCTCCACAGCCCTGAGCTGTCTGCTGGGCCTCCCTCTGCGGGTGCAGAAGATCCGCGCGGGCCGCAGCACGCCCGGCCTCAGGTAATGCGCGCTGCCCTGGGGAGCCGGGATGGCCAGGCCCGACCGATCGCTGGGCTGGGGCCTGGGGATGGGAGCGAGGGGCGGGCCGCCGCATCCCGGGCGTGGGAACCGGGGAGCCCAGGAGGGGAATCTGAGCCCCCCCTCCCCCGTGCAGGGGAGTGGTGGGCCTCGGCTTCGCTTTCCTGGCCAGGGGCCTGATGGTGCAGCCTTGCAAGCCTCAAGGAGTGAATACAGAAATAGGCTCGCTCGGGTAGCCGTTGTGTGTGGTTTGCCCAAGAATCTGTCTTTTAGAGTGTGTCCCCAGCTCCAGTGGGCATTCCACGTATTTGAAGGTAAGCTAGGTCAGGGCAGAACCATCTATAAGGCCACTTGTAAACCACTGCATTCTGTGCTTCTGCGCGTTTTGGAATCCCAGAACAGCTGAGGATCCCAGGAATTGTTCTTAAAGGCCTTTTCATTCAGATCTCCAGGAAGATGTGAGTACCACCAGAATTAACTGTTGTAGGAAGGGAAGTATATTGACACTTGGCAGGGCTTGCCACTAGCTACATTTTCAGGTATATATGCGTCTGTTAGAAGAGGGCCCAACGGATCTCTTTGTGTGTATTCTCTATATATATTCCATTTCAACTTACCGGTTCTCTTAGTGTTGTTTGTTTGTTTGGTGTGTGCCAGGCCTGGGCGCTGCCTCTTAGATTCTTCACTCAAGGCTGGTACTCTGCCAGTTGAATCACAGCTTAACTTGTGGATTATTAATTGGAGATAAGGGTCTCACAGACTTTGTTGCCCAGGCTGGCTTTGAATGGTGACCCTCAGATCTCAGCCTCCTGAGTTACAGGCATGAGCCACCAGTGTCTGGAGATTATCTATCTATCTATCTATCTATGTCTGTCTGACTGTCTGTCTGACTGTCTGTCTGTATGTTTTGGAGGCTGAGAGTCCAGAGTCAAGGTGCTGGCAGGGTTGTTTTTCCTGGGCATTAAAGGGAAGATCCGTTCAATGCCTTGGTGATGGAATTCCTCTTGTGGCCTTTTCACAGAGTGGTTTCTTTATGGACCCTGTTGATCATGTTTCTCTATATATCCTACTCTCTTTTAATAAGGACCTCAATTAAATTTTAAGACCCTCCTTTAAAATTAAGTCCTATTTCTAGCAGTCCCATTCCGATGCACTGTGGTTTGGGAGTTCAGCACACAATGTCAAGGGAACACAATTTAGGCCATAAAGGTGTCATAGAGAGTTCAGTGAATGAGAGCAAGACTGGTGGTTCTTAGGTAGTTTTACTAGTGTCTTTCCTTTGAACCCTTATAATTTTCAGCAGTTCATCAGTGTGTGTGTTCATAGCAAAAATAACTGGTCTTGAAGGAAACAAAAAAAATGCTACCTAATAGTAGTTAATGTAGGTACATAAAAAAAAAAACACATGAAGCTTGGCTATTGAACATGTAGCATATAGTGTATTTAGGCTTTGCTGTTTCACAGTTTTATAAATGTGGCATAAAATGTGGGGAGAAGGCAGTCTGAATGCACACGTTTTGATGCAGTATTATGACCTGAAGGCCTCAACATTTATCTGGACTGGAAATGGTTCGAGATTTGTGTGGTGGACAACTGGAGGGAGCAGAAATCGGCTCCACAGAAATAGCCTTCACGCCAGAGAAGATCAGAGGTGGAATCCATACAGCAGACACCAAGACAGCAGGGTATGTATCACTTACTTGGAATGTAAGTATAGATTTTAGTGTTAGGCCTGTTTCAAAGCTAGATTCTGTCTCTTATTAGATATATTACTGAACCTCTCTTGGCTTTAGTTTTTTTACTTTTATGATGTAGATAAAACATCTTTTAAAGCTAAAGACAATGGATATAAAAATTTAGGTACCTAATTGTTCACTTACAGCCATTACTATCTCTGGAATATTGTTTTGTTGAAACATGATTTCCTATATAGGCCATACTGGCCTCCAGCTTGAGTTCCTTCTTCTTTAGTTCCTTGAATGCTGGCATTAACGACATGTGCCATCATATCATGGTATATGCAGAATGTTATTTTGCGTGTAGTATGAAGTGGCATTCTTTCTTTTTTTGTGAGTCATGGGGCTTGAACTCTGGGCCTGGACGCCGTCCCTCAGCTCTTCAATTCAAGGCTAGTGCTCTACACAGCACCATTTCTGGTTTTCTGGTGGTGAATTGGAGATAAGAGTCTCACAGATTTTCCTACCTGGGCTGGCTTTGAGTCTCGATTCTCAGATCTCAGCCTCCTGAATAGCTAGGATTACAGAAGTGAGCCACTGGCACCCGGCTTTTTACTTTTCATTACTAAAAATTGAATACTTCAAATTTTCTTGAGTTTGTATGTTCTGTCATCATTGTATTGTGACATACACCTGACTATTTTAATTGAGATATTTTTAATGTCTTTTAATTTTTTTGGTGTTGCTGAGGATCAAGTTAAGTGTTTTTCCAGTGAGGTCTTCCTCACCCCAGGCTAGCTCTTTATTTTCTTTTAATAGATACTTGTGCAGTCCTGTTTATAAATGTTTGGATTATAATCTTGATTTAAAAAAAATCTCATTGGAAAATAGGACAAGGGTGTTCATTGGTAAAGCACCTGCTTATGATGTTGAGGGCTATTTTTTTCCAAGAAAAACAATATTTAACAATTAAGTTGAGTTTTTTATGTTTATCCCCCCCTTTTTTTAATGTCAATTTGGAGGTTGTATTCAAGGCCTATGTGCTGTCTGTCCCTGAGCTTTTTGTACTCAAGTTTAGTCCTCTACCACTTGAGCCATAGCCCTGGCTTTTGGTAGTTAATTGGAGATGAGAGATTCATAGGCTTTCCTGCTCAGTCTGGCTTTGAACCACTGTGCTCTAGCCTCCTGAGTAGCTAGGATTACAGGTGTGAGTCACCAGTGCCTGGCCTTTTTTTTTTTTTGGTCATTTGTGGGGCTGAACTCTGGGGCTGGGCTCTGTCCCTCAGCCCTTCAGCTCAAGGTTAGTGCTCTACCACTTAAGCCATAGTGCCACTTCTGGTTTTCTGAGTGGTTTATTGGAGATAAGAGTCTCATGGACTCTCATGGACTTTTCCTGCCTGGACTGGCTTTGAACCACGATTCTCAGATCTCAGTCTCCTGATTAGCTGGGATTACAGGCGTGAGCCACCATCACCTGGCTCTGGCATTTTTTATCCTTTTTTTTTTGGTTGGTCATGGGACTTGAACTCTGGGCTTGGGTGCTGTCCCTCAGCTCTTCAGCTCAAAGCTAGCACTCTACCACTTAAGCCACAGCACCACTTCTGGTTTTCTGAGTGATTAACTGGAGATGAGACTCTCACAGACTTTCCTGCCTAGGCTAGCTTTGAACTGAGATCCTCAGATCTCAGCTAGGGTTGCAGGTGTGAGCCACTGGCATACAGCCATTTTTTTTTTATCTTTTTCTAATGATGCCTGCTTCCAGTGATAAATGTGGAGAGAGGAATTACGAGTTACTTTTTCTGAGCTAGTTGGCTGATGGATTCTGTTGCCAACTTCTACCCAAATTCTATTTCCTGGGAAATTTGGCAAAATAGAAAATGGGCCTAGAAACCTGATGCCAGGATTGCTTTTATTTTTCTCCTGTGCTGGGTACCAAATCAGGGCCTTACAGCTGCTGTCAGGCACTCTGTCACCCAGCAATTGTAGCCAGGTTTGTGTACCATCTAAAGCCAATTTTTCCTGTAATGAAATACTGATTCTGAATTTTGCGCATCAGACAATGGAGTGTTTTGTTTTAACTTCTCGGTTGTCTGTGCTTCAGGTGATATGTAATAAAAGAACTTTTTGAGACTTTGAAAAGACAGTTCAGCTAAGCCTGTTCTGCCTTCTCCTCAGGAGTGTGTGCCTCTTGATGCAGGTTTCAATGCCCTGTGTTCTCTTCGCTGCTTCTCCGTCAGAACTTCGTTTGAAAGGTGGAACTAATGCTGAAATGGCCCCCCAGATCGATTACACCATGATGGTGAGGCCTAATCTCCAATCTCTGTTCCAACATGTCTTAAGTATTTTATGTATATTGATTCCTGTTATCTAAAAGGGAAGAGAATTATATTTAAGATTGTAATATATGTTAAAGTCATATACATAGTGAATTTTTAAAACCTGAAGTAAAATGATATAAATTAAATCAGTTAATTTATTTTTGCTGGTCCGGGAGCTTGAACTCAGCACCTGGACTCTGTCCCTGAACTTTTCTGTGCTCCAGGCTAGTGTCTACCACGTGAGCCATTTATTGTTTATTGGAGCTAAGAGTCTCATGGACCTTCTTCCCTGGGCTGGCTTTGAATTGTGATTCTCAGCCTCCAGAGTAGCTAGGGTTACAGACATGAGCCACTGGTGCCTGGCAAATCAGTTATTATTTAAATCAGGCATTTAATAAATCTAAGAATTACAATTGGGAAGGAAGCTTAACCTGTCTTCCAGTGACAAAACTCAATACTAGCATGCTTGAAAAGTATGCATCTTTCTTTACCTCTTTCTTTACCCCTCTCTCTCTTTTTTCTTCCTTCCTTCCTTCCTTCCTTTTCTCTCTCTCTCTTTGTCTCTCTTCACTCAAGGCTAGCACTCTACCACTCTACACTCCAGCTTTACTTCTGGTTTTCTGGTGAATAATTAGAGATAAGAGTCTCATGGACTTTGCTTCCCTGGCTGGCTTTGAACTGTGATCCTCAGATCTAAGTCTCCTGAGTAGCTAAGATTACAGACATGATCCATCAGTGCCTGGCTGCATATTTTACTTATTCTGAAAATCTGAAAAGCAAACTATTCTAAAATCTGAAACTTTTTCAGTGTCTGAACTCAGGGCCTGGAGCTCAGGCTTACTTGACTTGCTTATTCATGGATAGTACTCTACCACCTGAGTTATGCCTCTAGCCTAGCTTTTTTGGAAATGGCAGTCTGTGACTTTTTTTGCTCAGACTGGTTTTGAACTTTAGTCATCCAGATCTTAGCCTTGTGAGTAGCAAGGATTATAGGTCTTGAGCCACTGGTGGTATTACTTAGTAACTTCATGGAAACTACTCTATCTAAATATTATAGAGTACATGCCCCAGTTTCTTCAAGTGTACTTCATATTGAGAAGAGTCAGTAAATATTGACCCGTGGAGAAGAATAACAACTGGGTCAAATATGTTAGATTGTGATACTTTTCTTTATCAGTCTTGTCTTGCTCTGATTAAATACTAAGCTTTACCTTTAGTGACATACCTGGTCTTTTTGTTGTTGTTTTGTTTGTTTGTTTTTTTACTTGAGAAAAGGTGCTAGTATAAATATTTTGATGTCACTGTTTACCTGTAACACCTAATCACTGGTTTAGTGCAGAATACTTTTGATTTAACAGTTGTACTTGTTGAGCCAGTGAATATTAGTGGCTACAGTAACATCTGATTTTTTTTTTTTAGGTCTTCAAGCCAATTGTTGAAAAATTTGGTTTTAAATTTAATTGTGACATTAAAATGAGGTAAGTTACACATTTCCTAGCCCTTCTGATGTATTACATGTGCTAAAAATAAATGGAAAAGTTAGACCTTAGAGGACTGTCACTCTAATGTGTCTATATTATACTTGATTGTTCAATTTCTTGTAGGAAATCATTGTACTTTGGTCTTAACAATAAGCTGCAGGGGGATGGGATGTTGACAGCAGCTGCATGTGATATTCATTTGTTTCCTGGGAGAAATATTACAAAGGAATATCTACCTAAGGCAGCTTCACATCTAGTGTTATCCATGCTCCTGCAAGGACTAAATGATAATGCTAGGTACACAGCTAGGCTTATCACTATGGGGGCCTTAAAAGAGATTTTCTTCCACAATGTAGTCTGTTATTTTCCTCAGACACATAGTAAGCATACAGGTTATTTTTCTTTGAGGCTTCCCCTCTGTTACACAGTAACACCTTTAAATTTCTTGGTTTAGCATGTAAGTGCTCCAGTTACCTTTAGGCATTATCATTATTTCTCTTGACCTCCTTTCAGCTTCATGATTTTCACTGATCCTTAAATGCTTTGGACTTTCTTTATTCATGTTATTATCCCCCTGCTCTTTTAAACATTATGAATCCTGTATACTTTAAAAATGAAAATGGCAATTTCTTGTTTGGACTGCCCAAAGGTGTGCCTTAATTGGAATTTACATCTGAACTGCTATTTTAATAGTTTCTTTTTGGGGTGTGTGTGTGTATGTGTGTCAGTTGTGGGTCGTGAACTCGGCCTGGGCGCTGTCCCTGAGCTCTTCAGCTCAAGGCTAGCACTCTACCACTTGAGCCACAGCTCCACTTCCAGTTTTCTGGTGGTTAATTGGAGATGAGTCTCACAGACTTTCCTGCCTGGGTTGGCTTTGAATTGATATCCTCAGAGAAGCTAGGATTACAGGCCTAAGCCACTGGCACCCAACTTGAAATACTTTCTTACAGCCCTCCTCCTCTTCTAGCATGGTATCGGGAGCCATCTTCCTTCCAGATAGAGAATTCCTTAAGTTAAGAGCACTTCAGTTCTTAGCATCTGTGATAGAATTAGTGACACTAAATAACAGAGTTAGAATTTGGTTGGTGTTCAGCTACTTAAGTGTTCATCAGATATTTATTTGCCTATCATTGTTTCAAAGCCTAGAAAATAGAAACAAAACAGATCCAGACATCAGAGAACTTCTGTTGTAAAATAGCACTGTCAATAGAACTTTCCACACTGAGGAGTATGTTCCCTTTTTATGGTGTCTAGTTGGATAGTCACTAATAACTTTTTTCTTTTTCTTTTTTGATAGTACTGGGTTTGAACTCAGTGCCTCACACTTGCTCAGCTGGTGCTCTACCACTTGAGCTATCCTTTCAGTCTGGCCTTTTTTTCTGGTTATTTTGGAGATACAATCTCATGGACTTCTCTTCCTGGAATGATTTAGAACTGAGATCTTATAGATCTCAGCCTTCTGAGTAGCTAGGATTACAGATATGAGCCACTAGCCCCTCGTCCAAATGTAAGTCTTGAGACCTTAAAATAAGCTTTATGTATTTCAGAAGCTGAACTGATTTTTTAAAAATTCTTAATTTCCTTTATTTTTATTTTAAAATCTACTTTTTTGTTGTTGGGGATGGAGTCCAGGGCCTCACAGATGTTAAATATACACTGTTCCAGTGAGCTGTTCTTCCAGCCTAATATTTTCCTTAATGTGAATAGTCATATGTAACTTGGGGTCACTGTATAGGTCAGAAGAGACCTAAAATACTGTTTTGGACTTTCCATGAATTATATCTTGGGTATCATTCACATTATTTTTGATGTCATATTGGGGTTCACTTTGGTTGTGTGGTCAGTTTATGTAGGTGTTACGCTCTCCACAGGGGCTATTACCCAAAAGGAGGTGGCGAAGTGCTTGTGCAGATGTCTCCAGTTAAACAGTTAAGCCCAATAAATTTGACTGATCGTGGCTCTGTGACAAAGATCTATGGGAGAGCGTTTGTTGCTGGTGTTCTGCCATTTAAAGTAAGTTGTCTGAATGTTTTTAGATGTGTTTTTACACTTCGGTAAGTATTATGTTATCTAAGTTTTGAAACTATTGAGAATTTTTTTGTTTGTTTTCTTTTGGTAGTACTTGGGCTTAAACTCAGGACCTTGCTATTTGTAGACAAGTGATAGAACTTATTTTTTTATATGCCTTTTCATTAAGTTTTTCCTAAAATTTAGTCCTCTCTCTAGTCTTGAAAATTGAATAATTAAATAATGAATGTAAAAGCTGTTTTATGTGACTTTGAAGGCTTGAAAACAATTGTCCAAATTTTTCTTTTTTTTCCTCACTTGCCAAAATAGGTAGCAAAAGATATGGCGGCGGCAGCTGTGAGATGCATCAGAAAGGAGATCAGAGATCTGTATGTTAACATCCAGCCTGTTCAGGAGCCCAGAGACCAAGCATTTGGCAATGGCAGTGGAATAATGTGAGAAATAGGCCTTTCTTAAGCATAGTTGGAAGACCTGAAGTAATTTTCCTGTTTCAAGATGTAAGATGTGCTTGATCAATTTAGAATTTGAAGAGGGCGTATTTTTACCTACCTGAAACAATATTATTAATTAAGATGATTATTCTAGCTGGGTCTGGGGTGATGCATGCCAGTAATCCCAACTACTTAGGAGGCTGAGGCCGGAAGATTGTGAGTTTGAGTCTAGCCTGTACTACATAGCAAGATTTCATTTCCAAAAAGAGATTATTCTGGATTTTGTTTTTAAAGATGGGCAATCCTTGAGATTTTTTTCTTTCTTTCTTTCTTCTTCTTTTTTTTTGGTCAGACTTGGGGCTTAAACTCAGGGCCTGGGTTCTGTCCCTGAGCTCTTTTGCTCAAAGCTAGTTCTCTGCCACTTTGAGCCATAGCTCTACTTACGGTTTTTAAGTGGTTTGTTAGAGATTAAGAGTCTCATGGTGACTTCTGGCCAGGCTGACTTTGAACTGTTACCCTCAGTTCTCAGCCTCCTGAGTAGCTAGAATTACAGGTGTGAGCCACTGGTGTCTGACATAGTCCCTGAGCTTTTTGTGCTTAAGGCTAGCAGTTGGCCATTTGAGCTACAGCTCCACTTTTGGCTTTTTTGGTAGTTAATTAGAGATAAGCATCTCATGGGCTTTACCTGTCTGGGCTGGCTTCAAATCATAATCCTCAACTCTTAGCCTCCGAAGGATCTAGGATTACAGGCATGAAAATCCATGCTGGGTAGATTCTCATTATTTTTGTAAGCTCTCCATAGCTATTGCATTCTGTATCCATGGATTCAAACAACTATTGATCAAAACTATTTGGAAAAAAAATTGTGTCTGTACTAAACATGAATGGACTTATTCTTTGGGTAATATAATAACTGTTTTGTATATACATTGTGTTAGGTATAAGTAATCTGTAGATGATTTAAAGTCTAAGATATACATAGTTTATGTGTAAATATTACACTATTTTATATAAGGGATTTATAACATGAATAGTAATACTTCCTTTCTCTATATAGCATTGTTGCTGAGACATCCACTGGCTGTTTGTTTGCTGGATCAGCACTTGGCAAACGAGGTATGGACAAAGGGAATCTATAACAGTTCCCGATACTCAAGTAGGAGTATTAGCTGTTGGGAGTAGAGTATTATAAAGAATCACAGAAGACATATTTAGAAGGATAAATTAACTAATTGTGTTTTAAACTTCACATCTTTTTCCTAGTTTCCTACTTTGAAAGTTTTCAAACCTATGGAAAAATGACTTGTTGGCCTAGTCATCTGTATTCCTGTCCCCAGGTACAGTGGCTGCACATCCTGTGTGTCCTGAGCCTTTTCGGTGTTAGGTTGCAGACACTATACCTCACTTCTAAGCACTGCAGCATGTATATCCGAACAATGTAGTGACCGTGGCATTTTTATACCAGAAGAATTTGTCTGTTAGAGACAGACATATGGGACACACTTCAACCTAATAAGACTATCCTTGTTAAGACTAACACATACATATTTTAGGTCAATATGTATTTTTTTTTTCTCTTTAAGTACACATAGCATTTAGCTGTCATAGCTGTTTTGTCTTTTCATACAGAATACTCTCCATTCCCCCCCACACACACCTTTTTTTTTTTTTTTTTCTATTTCTTCCCTGGACATTTTGAAAAGTCCAGAACTTTTTTCATGGGATTTTTCCACTGTTTCAATTTGTCTGGTAATATCATGATTAGATTGGGATTAAACATTTTTAGAGTGTTGCATAGGTGATTTCATATGTAGTCTAGTGCATTGCATCAGGGCAGGGGAGGTAGTAGTTTGTGCCTTCTCAGTAAGGCCAGATGTACACGTGGTTAAGTGTACACCACTGTCTACTGTACATGTTCCTTTTCCCTGTATGATTAACAGGTAGTCTGAGAAAAATCCCTTAAGATCACTTGATTATGCTGTTCTCACACAATTTACGTGCGTTGATGATTCCTCCCTGCACTAGTTTCTGTGGTGCTAATTGGGAAATGCTGATTTTTGTTTTTTGGGATTTTTTTGTTTTTTGTTTTTGTGAAACAGTGTCTTACTGTGTGGCTCAGGCTGACCTCAAGCTTGTGATCTTCCTGTCTCAGCCTCCCAAGTGCTACAATTAAATCATTGAATATTTTCAGGAAAAGGAAATCTGTCCAAGGGTCTGATGGGGGGTTACAGAAAGACAAGAGTAGAGATGGTAACAAGTAATTTTACAGCATTTTAGATAATACTGTACAGGAAACAGCTTCATGGTGTGGATTTTTCACTTTTCAAATAACTTTAGAACCTATCATCTTTTCCTTCTCTGAGTTTCTGTTGGGTATGCAGTTTATATTATACTTTGGAACTTAGCACCTGTCTGTGCTCTAATCAGTGGAGGATGGTTATAGAACCTTAACTGTTCTCAAAGGGTTGGAGCTGCAGCTCAGTTGGAAGAGCGTTAGCCAGTGAGCAAAAGCATCAGGTATTGAGGTTGAGTCTCAGTCTCAGACCTGAAAAGAACCTTAACTACTCTCTAGTATGTTACTTTTTTTTTTAATGTTTTATCAGCAAAAGGGCCAGCAATATTGGGTGTTCAATACTAATATTATTAATAGCCTATTATGTGTGATCTTGATAATGGGTGCTTTATAAATGTTACCTTATTTCTGTTACAACTTTTCAACATAGTTATCATTGTCTTTTCCAGCTGAAAGTGGAACTGTAAGACACTAAGTAGCTCACTCAAGTGTGGGGGTGGGGCAGGGGATAGCTCACTGGCAGAGAATATAGCATGCACCAGACCTTGGGTGTAGTCCCTAGAACCAAAAAATTAAAAGTCAAGATCTATAATAACTCTAAATCATTCTTTTTAGTCATATAATGGCCAACTAATAATGTAAAAGTAGGGAGTTTAAATTCTGATAATATCTGCTGTAAGGGAAGAGTTAAAATTCTGAAAATTTTAGTTTTCTGGACAAGTTTTTAATGTATGTATGTATAGAGAGAGTAGATAACAATTGTAAGTGTGTGTATATGTGTGTGTAAAAAACCATATATATATGTAAATTTGCAAGAATTTGAAGCAGAAACAAAATTAACCACAGTATAAGTACTTAAGACATTTTCTTTTGAGGCCAAGGATTTTTTTTTAGGCATATAACCTTAAAAAGATAGTTGGAAGCTGGGGGCCATTGACATGCCTATAATTGTAGCTACTCAAGAGGCTGAGATCAGAGGATCACAGTTCATAGTCAGCCTTGGCAGGAAAGTCAGTGAGACGTCTCCAGTTAATCACCAGAAAGGCTGGAAGTAGAGCTGTGGCTCAAGTGGTAAAGTGCTAACCTTCAGCACAAAAGCACCCAGGCTCTGAGTTCAAGTCCCGATTCTAGCGTTAAAAATTTTTTTAAAAGTTGGATATTCCACTATTTCTGATAAACTTAGTTTGTTTTCATTGTTGTACTAAAGATTTATATAGAAAGGTAGAAAGTAAATAGAGTAAGAGGTAAATATTCTGACTTATATTCAAATTAAGCTAATATCTGTTCACATATTTTTAGTTAGAAGTCTTTATGTTTATTCTTTTTGGTTTTTGAGACCCTGTCTTACATGGTAGCCAGGCTAGATTCCATCTTGGTATCCTCTTCTAATAATATTTAAAGCCAGAATTGCAAGCATTCACCATCAAGTCTAGCCATCTTTTCAAGTCTTTAAAGGGAATAAAACTTTTTTTCTTTTTCTTTTTGCCAGTTCTAGGGGCCTGGGCACTGTTCCTGGGCTGCTGCTGCTGATTCTTTTTTTTGCTCAAGGCTAGAACCACTAGAACCACAGCTCCACTTCTGGCTTTTTCTGTACTTGTGGTACTGAGGAATCGAACCCAGGGCTTCATGCATGCTAGGCAAGCACTCTACCACCAAGCCACATTCCCAGCCCTCACAGGGCTAAATCTTTAAAATAGTCATTCTACTATCTGTTCTTTCTTAAATAATATGTAGTATCCTGACTTAAAAAGTTTTTTAATTCTGATGTAATTGCCTATAGACTAAAGGTAGCTTATATAAGTTTTAAAAATTTGAAGTTACAAACAGTTACAAACTGATATAATAATTAGTAATTTTTAAACAGACACAAAGCAAATTTTCCATCACTAGTATATTTGAAAATAAAATACATTTCCTTGTAGCTGGCTCACACCTCTTATCCTAGGTACTCAGGAAGCAGATATCTTTGAAGTTGGGAGCCATTTTGGGCAGGAAAGTCTTTGAGACACTGTCTCCAATTAAATAGCAAATAGCAGAGCTGGGGTGTGGTTCAAGTGATAGAGTGCCAGCTATGACCAAGAAAACTGAACAGAAAGCCAAATGAGAGCTTCAAGCCCCTCTGTCAAGCTTTAGGAAAATAACTAAAGATCTTATTCTAACTGTTGTGTGGGATAAAGTCAGAAGCCTGACACATTATATCAGTGCTGCCTGGGGTGTATCAAACTGTTGGCCTTTTGGTAATTTGGGGTTTTTACATTATTCCTGTCTTAGGCGTGAATGCAGACAAGGTTGGAATTGAAGCTGCTGAGGTGCTGCTGGCAAATCTTAGACATGGTGGAACTGTGGATGAATACCTGCAAGACCAGGTAATGACATTGAACACTTGGTAATTATATCAATTATACACGTTTGTTGTTGTTGTTAGTCATGGGACTTGAACTCAGGTCCTGAGTACTGTCCCTGAACTTTTTGCTCCAGGCTAGCTTTTGAGCCACATTTCTACTTCTAGTTTTTGAGTGGTTAATTGGAGATGAGTCACAGGGACTGCTGGCTGGAGGTGGCTTTGAACTACAAATCCTCAGATCTCAGCCTCCTGAGTAGCTAGGATTATAGGCATGAGCCACTGGCACCAGGCTTCAAACGTACATCTTGATCACTGCCACTCACATACTGACTAGCAAGCCCTATTTCAGTCACTTCTTACAGTTTTCTGGGAATATAGTCTTCATATTTCAGTCCTCATCTTACTTGACCTTTCTTCAGTATTTGGCACAATTGCTAAAGAAGTACTTTATTTAGTTTCTGAAATACTCTTAGTTTCCTTTCTTGCAGTTCATTATATGCTAGTAGTTGTTTTAATGTTTTCTGTGCTAGAAATTGAATCCAGGGCCATAGGCATGCTAGGCAAGACAGAATTTTTGTGTGTGTGTACGCTGGTCCTGAGACTTGAACTCAGAGCCTGGACATTGTCCCTGAGCTGCTTTTGCTCAAAGCTAGCACCCTACCACTTGAGCCACAGCACTACTTCCAGCTTTTTTGGAATACTTTATTAGAGATAAAAGTCTCATAGACTTTCCTGCCTGGGCTGGCTTCAAACAATGATCCTCAGATCTCAGCCCTCTTGAGTAGCTAGGATTACAGGCGTGAGCCACTGGTGCTCAGCTAAGAAAGAACTTTACTACTGTAGTTTACCCCCACTTTAATGAATTCCTCCCTCCCTCCCTTTCTCCCTCTCTCCCTCCCCCCCCCCCCCCTCCTTCCTTCCCTCCCTCCCTCCTTTCCTTCCTTCCCTCCCTTTCTCTCTGTTTCTTTTTTCTTTCCTTTTTCTCTTTTTCTTCTCTATCTCTCTCCTTTCCTCCTTCTCTTTCATCTATTCTTTTATCGTGAAAATACTGTACAGAGGGGTTACAATTACATGAGCAAGGTAATGAGTACATTTCTTCTCAAGCATTGGTGCCTCCTTTGTTTCCCCCTTCCCATCCCTTCCCATCCCTTCCCATCTCCTCCCCCCCCCCCACCAAAGTTATAAAGTTCATTTTTCGGCATAATGTCTTATACATCTCATTGTTGCAATGGGTCCACCTGTATCCCTATTTAAACAATTTGTTTTTTCCCTTCCTCTCCACAAATTATACCAACATCAAATGCAGTGAAAACAGGAGTTATACCACGGGTGAGGGACATACAAAGCAACAAAAAAATCATCTTATAAATGTGTTAGAAACAATAGCAAGAAAGAAAAACCATTTGAGTCCTTATCTTGGGGTTCATTTCGCCTAACATCAACTTATCTGACCATTTCTGCTTGTCTTAGACATATACTAGTTATTACAAATAAGGGAAACCATGGGACCTATGTTTCTTTGAGCCTGGCTTACTTCACTTAATATAATTTTTTCCAAGTCTTCCCATTTCCTAACAAATGGAGCAATGCCATTCTTTCTGATGGAGGCATAGAATTCCATTGTGTATATATACCACATTTTCTTGATCCATTCATCTACTGAGGGGCATCTGGGTTGGTTCCATATCTTACCTATGGTAAATAATGCTGCAATAAACATAGTTGTGCTGGTAGCTTTAGTATGGTCTTGTTTGTGATCATTTGGGTAAATGCCCAAAAGTGGGATTGCTGGGTCATAGGGGAGCTCTATGTGGAGTCTTTTGAGGATCCTCCATACTACTTTCCAAAATGGTTGAACAAGTTTACACTCCCACCAACAATGCAGTAAGGTTCCCTTCTGTCCACATCCCCTCCAGCATCTGTGGTTACTAGAGTTCTTGATTCTAGCCATTCTAACTGGGGTGAGGTGATATCTCAATAATGTTGTTCTGATTTGCATTTCTTTTATGGCTAGGGAGGTTGAGCATTTCTTCATGTGTCTATTGGCCATTCTTATTTCCTCTTCAGAGAAATTTCTCTTGAAGTCTTTAGCCAACTTATTTATTGGGCAGTTGTTTCTTTGAGGATTTGTTGTTGGGGGGTTTAATTTTTTGAATTCCAGGTATATTTTAGATATGAGACTCTTGTCCGTTGTATGGCTAGTGAAGATCTTCTCCCAATCCGTGGGCTTTCTATTGATCTTGCTAGCTATGTCCTTTGTCGTGCAGAAGCTCTGCAACTTCATGCAATCCCATTTGTCCAATCTTTCTTTGATTTGTTATGTTTCTGGGTCTCTATTGAGAAAATTTCTTCGGCCTGTGCCAAGGAGACCCAGGGTTTCTCCTATTCCATCCTGTAATGTTTTCATGATATCTTCTTTGACTCTGAGATCTTTCATCCATTTGGAGTTGATTCTGGTGCAGAGTGATATATGAGCTAGCTTTAGTTTTCTACAAGTGATTAACCAATTTTGCCAGCACCATTTACTAAAGAGGCTGTCTTTCTTCCATTCTAATTTTTTAGCTCCCTTATCGAAGATTAGATGGCTATAGGTCTATGGGTTCATTTCTGGGTTTTCAATTCTATTCCATTGGTCCTGAGGTCTGTTTGTGTGCCAGTACCAAGCTGTTTTGATTACTATGGTTTTGTAGGAGAGTTTCTTTCATCTATTCTTTTCTCAAGTAGTTATACTAAGGGGTTTCAGTTTAACATATGAATATGAATTTATGAGTACAATGCATCTTTTTTTTTTTTTTTTGCTTGTCCTGGAGCTTGAACTTAGGGTCTAGACTCTTGTCTCTGAAGTTCTTTTGTTCAAGGTTAATGCTCTACCACTTGAGCCACAGCACCACTTCCTGCTTTTTCTGGGTAGTATAGGAGATAAGAGTGTCACGGACTTTCCTGCCAGGACTGAAAACCGTGATCCTCATATCTCAGCCTCTTGAGTAGCTAGGATTATAGGCATGAGCCAGCAGTGCCTGGCTCCAGCACAAATCGTGATCAGTGTCACCCCTTCCATTATTCTCCTCCATCTGTCCCAATACACTCATCCCCTCGAGTTACCTGGTTTCATTTCACATATATACACTGAATATTATTATTGTATTTGCCCATCCTTCCTCTCTCTGCTTGTCTACCCCCCTCCCCTATCATCACCCCTCAACAACACATATTCATAGTTCTTGGTAAAAAAAATATACTTCTAAAAGTAGACTTCTGACTTAACTTCCAGGGTTGGAAGTAGCATTCTGCAACATGAGCCACACCCCCATCATTTTTTCCTTTAGTTTTCTTTCGAATTGGAAGATTACTAAATCAAGCCTGGATGGTGATTCTCTTGTTTGAATCTCAAATGTAGCTGGTATGACAGGCATGCACTACCATGGCCAGTTTTATTAATGGAGAAAGGTTCTTACTAACTTCATGCCTGAGCAGACCTCAAACCATGATCATCTAATCTCTCTGCCTTGTGAGTAGCTGGGATTACAGGTGAGAGCCACCATGCCTGTCCCTTCACTTCCGGTTCTGAAGAACTCCTCTGGTCAGGCTCATAACTATCTGATTTCACTCCCTTGGTGACTTTCTTCACTCTCATGGTTTAAGTACCATGTGCATGCTGCCCAGATTAATCACTGCCCAGACCTCTCTCCTAATTCCTTCCTAGTTATAATCCCCCAGCCATCAATATGGATATGTCTTGCCCTTCCCACATCTAAGACTCACTCGCAACAGGTGCTGTGGAGTATTTCTGAATAGGCGCTTTCTTCCCTCCCTGGTATTTTCCCTTTCTTTTTTCTTCCATCTCCTCCACCTTTCCCTTTTCTTCCTTCCTTTTTTTTAAATTTGAAAACAATTTTGAACTCTATCCTTGAACTCTCTATCCTCTTAACTTAGCTCCCTCTCAAGTGCTGGAATTACAGTTGTGTGCCATCATGCTTGGCAAATAAAACCTTCCCTTTTTACAATTTGCTGTCTGGTGTATTTTCCTCTCTCCCTTTCTTTCTTGCCTTACTTGCAAGTTAGCAGCCTGCTTTCACTAATACTTATTTGTGAGGAGGCTGAGATCTGAGGATTATGATTTGAAGCAAGTCTGGGCAGAACAGTCTCTAACTTTTTGGGTTTTTTTTTTTTTCTGTTGGTCATGGGACTTGAACTCTGTCCCTCAGCTCTTCAGCTCAAGGCTAGTGCTCTACCACTTGAGCCACAGCACCACTTGCGATTTTCTGGTGGTTAATTGGAGGTAAGAGTCTCACGGACTTTCCTGTCCAGGCTGGCTTTGAACGAGATCCTCAGATCTCAACCTCCTGAGTAGCTAGGATTATAGGCGTGAGCCACTGGCACCCAGTGAGTCCCTGACTTTTATCTCCAATTAACCAGCAAAACTCAGAAATGGAGGTGTGGCTCAAATGACAGAACAACAGCCTTGATCAGGAAAAGCTGAGGGACAGCGCCCAGGCCCTGGGTTCAAGCCCTAGTATTAGCACCACAAGAAAAGAAAAGGAGAGGGGAAAGGAGGGGAGGGGAGGTTTATTTCAGGCTAGGAGTATAATTCAGTGGCTCGGTGACTGAGATTTTATTATTATTATTTTTTGCCTCAATTGCCTAAGCCCCTGGGTTCCATCCCTAGCATGGAAAAGAAAGAAGTTAATGATTGAATTAACTGTGAGGCTACTCATTAAAATGTAATATTGCAGCTGAAATTTTTAACCAGCATATCAAAAAAGTGTGTTTTTATAGTACAAAGGAAAGGTAATTTTGCTTTCAACTCTGGACCTTTCTATTAAAAAACTTTAAAATTTTTTTAAAAAGAAAGCAAAAGGAAGGAAGGAGAGAAGAAAAGAGGAGGGAATCAGTTTTCTGAGGACAATCTCTTCCTTTTTTTTTTTTCCCCACTGGTCTTAGGGTTTAAACTCAAGGCCTGGGCACTGTCTCTAAGCTTTTGTGCTCAAGGCTGGCAGTCTACCACTTTGAGCCACAATGCTATTTCCAGCTTTTTGGTAGTTAGTTGAAGAGAAGAGTCACATGAACTTTCCTGCCCAGGATGGCTTCAAACTGCAGATCTCAGATCTCAGCCTCCTGAGTAGGTAGGATTACAGGCTGAGTCACTGATACCTGCCTAGAATAGTTTTGCTTATGTGTAGTCCCTTGCCTTTCGCCCAGGTTTACTCGCACTCCTAGTAATTCTATATTAGTCTACTCATTCATCTGCTGAAATGTAATTTTAGAATAAGAACTTGTCACATTATATATGCCAGAGATGGCTGTCCTGTCTTAATTAATACATCAAAGTCCTGCTCCATATTTTGCTCTTAAGCATTAATTTTTAAAGTTCCGTGTTGAATATTGCTGCTCAGCACTTCTGACCCATACTGCAAGCTCTGGGTAACACAAATTTCCTGTCATCTTCCAAGGGCTTCTGGAAAGTAAGGAAAGATAATTTTTTTTAACTTTCTTGATTTGGAATGTCTTTTCATTATAGACAGTACTAGAGTTAATTTACTCTTAAGTATTAGTAAATGTGTGACATTTTTGTGTTTGTTCTTTTTTTCCATAGCTAATTATTTTCATGGCACTAGCCAATGGAATTTCCAGAATAAAAACAGGACCAGTTACGCTCCATACACAAACTGCTATCCATTTTGCTGAACAACTAGCAAAGGTGAGTATTCCGTTAGAAAGAGCAATTAAATTTCATTTTGTTAAACACCCTAACCATTTTTGTCTTCGTTATTTTTCAAATAGTGTCTCATTTTTATGCCTGGATTAGCCTGTACCATGATTGTCCTTTTAGGCTCCCTGTGAAGCTGGGATGAAGATACGTGCCATATTCAAGCTATTGGTTGATTGGGGTTTGGGGTGGGGGGATAGGGGGAGGAGGGTGTCTCAAACTTCGTGCCTAAGCTGGTTTCTTCTTACTTCTAACTTCTCAAGTGGCTAGGAAAGTAGCTAGCCACTGCACCCAGTTTTCAGTATATTCTTTCTTTGTATGTGTTTGTGTACTAGTCCTGGGGCTTGAACCCAGGGCCTGGGTACTGTCCCTCAGCTTTTTTGCTCAAAGCTAGCACTCTACCACTTGAGCCAGAACTTCACTTCTGGGTGATTTGGTGGTGAATAGAAGATAAGAGTCTTATAGACTTTCCTGCCTGGGCTAACTTAGGGCCATGATTCTCATATCTCAGCCTCCTAAGTAGCTAGGATTACAGGTGTGAGCCACCATATTCGGTTTGGTCATGTTTTAAGTAGTTGACTTGGAATGAGTTCATCTTTCTGGCCTCAGTGTAGACAATGCATCTGTAAAATTAGAGACTGAAGGCTTTTAAGGCTTCATAAACAACTTGAAGCCCAGACTTAAAATGATTCCTTCACTGTTGCTTGTGTTTCCCATTTGCATAATGTTTGCACTTTGGAAGGTACGCACATACACATAACCAACTACAAAACCTGGCTTCCTGCTCAGCATTCAGTGCTGTTTGTTTCCGGTAATTGCAGACGCCCGCAGTATCAGCATCCTGCCATGCACACTGGTGGCAGAATCTGCAAACATTACATTCAGTAAGGCCCCACTGATGGCTCTCACATAAGCACCCAAAGATTTTAGTCACACACCTGACATCTTTTTACCCCAGACTCAGTCAGCCTCTCAGTTTTGATTTTAAGTCAGCTTTGTTCAGATGAACCACATTTGCTTTAGAAACGATCGTGTTTCCAGAACACAGTGACGCAAGTCAAATACTTGAAAAGCCAACTTCAGTTAACAAGTGAAAACGACAGTGTTAGCCCAATCACGATGAAAGAAGTTAGTCACCACTGCCAGCCCTCCTCCCACCCACCTTCCCACTGCCAGATCTTTTGAATAGTGAATCCAGAGAATTAAATTGTCAAGAGAAAATGAGATTCAATGATTTCATACTTGACAGATAAAAAAAAAAATGGACGTCTCAGAGCCACATTTTAGAAAAACTTTTTAGAGAAGGGAGACAAACGATGCTTTACTAATCTCAACCAACAGCTGAGATTTCCGAGGTGGAGTTTCTTTTGGTTGTACTCATGGAGTCTGTGATTCAGTGGGTGCAGAGCACAGCCCGTGTATATGTTCTGACAAAACCCCCGAAGAAGCAATACATTCTCATAGGTTATCAACGTTCTCCGGCTGTTTCCTACAGGCGGGCTTACCCTGGCCCGAGTGATAGGTGTTTCTCCGTCCTCCTCATTCACGCTCTAATACTGTAATGCTCTTCTGCTTTCAGGCCAAATTTACTGTGAAGAAGTCAGAAGATGAAGAGGATGCCTCTAAAGACACTTACATTATTGAGTGTGAAGGAGTTGGGATGACAAATCCTTATCTATAGAGTATCTGCCTTGTAAATGGTGTACCTCAGTGATGGACGGCACTCATTCAAAGCATGTTCTTAAAGGACCTGACTAGACTTGGAGATGAAGGATGATGTTCTAGATTTGCTTCACCAGAATCCTACTTGAAATCTCTCCTGCAATACTGACAGTGCCGTAAGATTTGATGGATATGTATGATTTCAGTATTTAAATATTGAAATAAAAGTTTCTTTGTACCTGAAGTAAATGACCTTCATTTGGTTTTTTAGAATTATTGGGAGTTTAACTCAGGGTGAAGCACGTGAAGCAGACACTGAGACAAACACTATACTATTTGAGCCAACCTCTAGACCTTTGGCTCTTTAGTTTTTAGATAGGCCTCAGACCACTATACTCCTACCTAAGACTCTGGCAGAGCTGGGATTACAGGCGTGAGCCACATTACCAGCACAGTTGTTCATCTGCATGAGAAAGGCTACAAGATACAGTGGATGTGGGTATTGCATTCCTTTCATAGCTAAGTCCAAAGCCAGTGAAGACAAATAGATCTGAGCGTGAACTCTGGCTTGTTTGTTGATACGGAGTTTTGCTAACTTTTCCTCTGGTTTCTCTGGCACTATGATTCTCCCACTGTCTGCCTCATGAAGAGCTGGAATTATAGGTGTCTACCACCATCCTTGTTAATGTTTTTCTCTTTGATATAGTAAGTCAGGAATATAGATTTCATCTTGTATGCAATAGCTCCCTTATCTAGGTTTTGTTTGTTTAGTGGTACTGGGGTTTGAACTCAGGGCCTCACACTTGCTAAGCAAGTGCTCTCCTTGATCCATGCCCCTGTTCTACAGTTTGGCTTTTTGATGTTTCAATTACCTGGCGTCCATAATACTTGATCCAATTTTGAAAAAAAAAAAAAAAGCATCAATCTAGTTAAGATTTAACTTCAATAAGAGTTCACTAAAAATCTCAGAATGTGCCTTTTTTTTTGGCCAGTCCTGGGGCTTGAACTCAGGGCCTGGCCACTATCCCTACCACTTGAGCCACAGAGTAACTTCTGGCTTTTTCTTTTTCTGTTTATGTGGTACTGAGGAATCAAACCCAGGGCTTCATACATATGAGGCAAGCACTCTATCTCTAAGCTGTCAGAATGTAACTTTTATGCTTAATTGATGAGTAATATAATGTTAGGTCCCAATATGTGCTCAAACACAACATGAAAAGTGGAAGCAGTGGGAAAATCAACAAAGGAGGACCAGCAGGATGGCAGGTAGCTTACCTGGGGAGGATCATGCACACACCCTCTGCTGGTGATTCTCACCATGGCCTCCCTGCCACCAAGCTGTCTCCTAGGGGCTTTTCAAGTCAGTATTTTCTCACCCTAGTAGATGGTTTTCTGTGGTCATAACAAGGCAGCAATGTGGCCCAGGCCATCACTGGGAAGACAAAGCCTGGGCCTTGTCATGGAACGCTCCAGTGACCTGAGCCATGGCTGGAAAATGTGTGGAAAGCACATGACTGGCCTGTCGTAAGAATTTAGAGACACTAGAGTTGAGGGTAAAAACAGAGACAATCGTTTCTAATGTACAAATGAATCTGTTCTACCAAACCATTCAGGAGGCTTTTCTTTGTTGCTGAATGTATTAGTGGTCCCAAAGGCCATGATCCAAATACTAACATTATATATACATATATGTGTGCGTGTACCTATGTCTATTTACATGTGTATGTATGGGACTCGAACTCTAGGCCTGGGTGCTGTCCCTTAGCTCTTCAGCTCACGGCTAGCTCTCTACCACTTAAGCCATAGTGCCACTTCTGGTTGCCTGGTGGTTAATTGGAGATAAGAGTCTCCTGGACTTTCCTGCTCAGGCTGGCTTTGAACAGTGATCTTCAAATCTCAGCTTTCTGAGTAGGATTACAGGCATGAGCCACCGGGGTGCCTGCCTTGTATGTGCTTTTTTAAAAGGATTTTTTAATGCTATTTTAGAGGTGGTGCACAGAGGAGGGATTACAATTACATGAGTCAGGTAATGAGTACATTTCCTTTTGTACCGTGTCTTCTGTTCTTTCACTCTCCCAGTCCCTCCCTTCTGTCAAACTGCAGTTGGTATTGCAAACAGAGGTGATCTTATACAGGAAGCTAGTCATGCAGTTGTTGGGAGCTTAAAAGAGTTAACTAGAGAGCCTATGTATGAGAAAGAGCTGGAGAAATAGAAGGTAAGAGGGTGGTAATAAAGCCTAAGAGTTTGAAGGAGGTGTTCTGTGGGGCTGACAGGTTTCAGGAAGGGCCACTTCTCAGCTGATGATCCAACACTGTGAACACAAGCTAACTGGAGGTACAGCCTGGCCGGTGCTTGCGTGGCTGAGCACTTGGGAGGGAGCGCTGTGAAACTAATATCCCTCTTGCTCACCTTGGGAGCACAGCAAAGGTGAGTAGCAGGGGCAGTGGAAATGCTGATGGAAGTCAGAGCCACAGTTTGCCATGCTGTTGGAACAATCCTGATAAGAACTGGAAACAGGAACCGTCCTTCCTCTCTTCCTTTCTTCTCTGCTTTTAATAATACTTAACTAGGGCTGGGAAGGTGGCTCAGTGGTAGAGCGCTTGCCTTGCATGCCTGAGGCCCTGGGTTCGATTCCCCAGCACTACAAAAGCAAAAAAAAAAGCCGGAAGTGGCGCTGTGGCTCAAGTGGTAGAGCGCTAGCCTTGAGCTGAAGAGCTGAGGGACAG